CCGAAAAATGTAAATAAGCCCATGATTTACTCACCTCAGGTCATCCTAGGTGTATATGACCTTCTTCTCTCAGACGAATACAATCGGAGTTATATTAAAAAATGTCCTGGCTCTTCCAAGCTTTATAATGGCAGTGAATGGCTCTATATATTTTTTTAAAGTGCATCCGTCCATGATTAAAGTGCTCCACACAGCTCTGGGGGGTTAATAAAGGCCTTCTGAAGTGAAGCGATGCATTCATGTAAGAGAAATATGAATTTTTAAAACTTTATCGCCTAAAATAACTAGCTTTCGGCAGACGGTCTATGCAAGTCAACTGACGCCAGAAGAGTAACACTTGATTATGTATGACGTAGGATGTACTGTAGGAGTAGTGTAAGCTTTGACGACTTTTACGGTTCAAATAAAAAGGGCTTAAGGAATACACATATGACCCAGGGGGATGCATATGGGGAATCACTGTCCAGCCGCAGGTGGACTATTTCTACCCCAGGGGTGGCAAGGTGGCTTGCTGAGGGAAAGTCACATGCTCAGAGGGGCTTACAGTGGAAATACACATGTGGGGGTCGCTCAGGGGAGGGACCATGCACATGAGAGGCACCTAGCCGACACACAGGCAATAGACACTGGCGCTGAGGAACTCAGGGCTTTCGGGGAAGCTCATCTAAGGAAAATATTGCACGTACCCAGTCCGTAGAGTGGAATGGCGTGCAAAAGACACCTGAGCAGGTCCGGTACTAGCTGGTTGAAGCAAGTACATGAGAGGACACAGGCTCCATTCAGAGATTATTGAATCTGGCAAATGTGTTGGGTGTCCTTCCTCAGAGGAATCGGCCAAGGAGGTGCTGTCGCGAGGAGTATGAGTTCGGAGAACCAGGTCCGGGTGGGCCAGTGCGGCGCAACCAGAAAAACCTGCTCCTCGTCCTCCCTGACCTTGCGCAGGGTCTGCGCAAGAAGGCTCACTGGAGGAAACGCATATTTGCGGCCCTGCGGCCAGCTGTGCGCCAGTGCATCCGTGCCAAGCGTGCCCTCGGTCAGGGAATAATACAGGGCGCAATGGGTCGAGTTGTGAGAGGCAAACAGATCTAGCTGTTCTTCCCCGAACTGGTCCCAAATCAGCTGAACCGACTAGTGATGGAGTCGCCATTCTCCAGGGAGGGCCATGAGAGCTCTTCAGCTGCACGGTTCAGAGCTCCGGGGATATAAAAAGCACAAAGGGACCTCAGATGCTTCTAACTCCATATGAGGAGGTGGCGGTCGAGTTGCGACATACGGCGGGAGCGCAGACCACCTTGGACGGTTGATGTACACTACAGTTGCGGTATTGTCTGATCGGACTCGTCCATGCTGGCTCTTGAGCACAGCTCAGAAACGGCCAACTGCACATGGCCCCCCTGCCCGTGGCATCTGTCATTACAACATGCCGGGAAGCTCGTTCCAGGGGCACTCCGGCCCGTAGAAACCTGAGGCTCATCCACGGGGTGAAGGTCTGACGGCAGGTCGGAGTAACTGGTACTGGGAGAGTGCCAGATTGCCATGCCCACTTCGGGACTCAGACGCGAAGCCAAAGCTGAAGCCATCTCACATGAAGCAATCCGAGCGGCGTTGCCGCGGCTGCAGATGCCATATACCCCAGGAGCCTCTGAAAAATTTTCAGTGGAACCACACTCGGAACCACCAAGTCAGCAGTGACTCTGCGCGCTCTCTCGTAAGACATGTCGACCGAGTCGATATCCATAACGACAAAAAGAGATCTTCTGCACGGAGCAAAGTTTGCTCTTTTCCCAGTTGACCCGAAGGCCCAGACGAGCTAGGTGCCGGAGCACTAGGTCCCTGTGTTCACAAACCTGATCTCGAGAGCGAGCTAGGATCAGCCAGTCGTCGAGATAATTCAGGATGCAAACCCCCTGTTCCCGGAGGGGAACTAAGGCTGCCTGTCCCGTAGCACTGTCAAATTTCGCCACAAGTGTAGACGAAAAGCTACAGGCTTCGGACAGGTGCTTAGGATCACGCCGAGAAGAAGCACTCTGAGGATACAGTACCATCACAACAGAGCGTTAAACCCAGGGGGACCCCAGTGTACCCATGGGCAGCGGCCCCGTCGAGGGAAGGAAGAGCGGAGGAGATCAACGAGGGATCGCTGGAAGATATTGAGATCTCCCGATGCACATCCCAGAAAAAGGTATCGGAGTGGACACCGACGGGAGTCATCGGCCACATCCAAAAACCAATCGCCCCGGGAAACCATGGCAGTCATCTCAGGTTCTGACTCGACAAATGCCATATGCACACCCAAAAGTGGCAGCACTTTAAAAAGACGTGCCGCGTGCAAGCTCTTTTGTGAGAGGAGAGAAAACTCGATGTTGAAGCGAGCAGGGAGAAACACATTCACTGGCAGATCACTGCACAGACCAGCAGGCAATGTGAACTCGGTGCAGATCGCCATCACACCAAAACTGGATAGAGTGGCTCGTCTCGTGGAGTGAAGTCAGAAATGGCTGTGGAGTGAAGAAATACTCTTGGCTCCGAAGCGAAAACAGGTCTGTATTCTGCCAGCGTCCTCCTTTCATACTCAAAAGGTGAGGCGGATTTACGCCATGAAAAATCCACAGGCCCGTGGCTTTTTTTCCATTGGCTTGTTTTATATTGATCAAAGCTGATAGGCTTTCTAAGTGAAACCCTGTTCGTTGTCATCTGACGGAACTCGGAGTGACAACGAAAGGGAAAGTTTGACATTTCTCTAAAAAAAATTCTCGTTTTAGACTTCTAATTCGTGACTGGTGTTTTGTTTTGTTCTATCCTTTACGCTTCCGCGTTCATCATTGCATTGTGCATCATGTTAAGTGTTACTCTTTTGCGGTAAATGCGCACGGCCGTCTGCCTGAAGACGTAAGGTTAAATATATCATTTTGGTGATCAAAGATGAGTTTTAAGTGATAAAATTATTGACTACAGGGGAACTTTAAGCTTTCCTCGGGTTCTAACAGGTGTAAATGCATAAAGGGAAATAAGTAACACTGGTTTAGTCTCTTTAGTTTAGTTAGTTTAGTTTAATCTTATTACTATGAACTCAGTTTATGAAGTTTGACTGCCAGAAAGTTTCTAAAATAGTTTTTGTGAAATGTGTTGATTAAAAATGTACTTTATTTCTCTAAAACAAATGGCACTTCATATTCGTACAAAAAATGTGGCTTAGGGGCAATTGACGCAACTTTGTGGTTAAAAAACGTGAGTCGCAGGTCACTGGAATGAAAAAATCATGAGGTCTAGAGTTGATTTTTAAACTTTGAGCTTATTTTAATATTAAGTTAAAGACATTGGTCTAACGCGTTAACATAGAAAAAACTATCGAAAAATTAGCGCAGTACAATGGAAAAACACATTCTATGTAAGTGGCCCTAAAGTGTCCAAGTGTTTTTTTTTTTTTTTTTTTTTTGTGCTGTGTCCCAGGTGATGTTGAACAGTCCGAAGGGCATTGCAGAAGAAAAAATAAAGATGGCTGAGAAAGAGAAAGCTAGAATAGAAAGAGAGAGCAAGATACCAGCCAAAACTAACAGTGCCAATGGTACTGGTGGGACACCTATACACGTCAGCACACTACAGGTCAGTGTAAGAATGCACATGTATTCCTTTAAGTAAGATGAATGTGTGCATTCGTGTGTGTGTGTGTGTGTGCTCTAAAGTTTGTATTCACATACATTTATGAGTGTGTGACTGTGTTCTCTGTATGTATGATGTGTGTATGTCTTCTCTTTATGTAAGATTAATGTGTGTGTGTTAATGGATACATGGGGAGATGGAATGGCTGTAATTGAGTCTACTGCTCTGGGCGTGCTCAGTGGGACATGGGTGCAGAGAAGAACAGAGGATTCTGGGGGACTGAGAGTAATGTGACCCGACAGCACTGAGGCCTGAAGCTATGACAGAGCAGCACAGGGGTTCATAAGTGTGTGTGCACTTGCGTGTGTGTATGAATAAGGGGTAGAGGTCATACTAAAAACAATATAGAAAATGTCTTAATAGGATGACTGAAATAGCAGGAGATTGAAGTTCATGAGAAAATAAAATATTGTTCCAATCATATGTTTTTTATTTTGCATTTGACCGAATTGACAATACACTTGTTAGTTTTGGCTTCCCTCTGTCTCCACTTTGTCAGATTAACACAGTAACCCAGACAGACAGACAGACAGACAGATACACAGATAAAGTAGATAGATAGATAGATAGATAGATAGATAGATAGATAGATAGATAGATAGATAGATAGATAGATAGATAGATAGATAGATAGATAGATAGATAGATAGATGGATGGATGGATGGATGGATGGATAGATAGATAGATAGACAGGTAGCTGGATAGACAGGTAGATGGATAGATTGACAGACAGATAGATGCATGGATGGATGGATAGATAGATGAATGGATAGATGGAAGGATGGATGGATGGACGGATAGATAGATAGATAGATGGATAGATAGATAGATAGATAGATAGATAGATAGATAGATAGATAGATAGATAGATAGATAGATAGATAGATGGATGGATGGATGGATGGATGGATGGATGGATGGGTAGATAGATAGATAGATAGATAGATAGATAGATAGATAGATAGATAGATAGATAGATAGATAGATAGATAGATAGATAGATGGATGGATGGATGGATGGATGGATGGATGGGTAGACAGATAGATAGATAGACAGACAGACAGATATATGTACGCATTGATGGATGGATAATAGATGGATTTGTTGACAAATGAATGAATGGATGGATGGATGGATGGATGGATGGATGGATGGATAGATAGATAGATAGATAGATAGATAGATAGATAGATAGATAGATAGATAGATAGATAGATAGATAGATAGATAGATGGGTAGACCGATAGATAGATAGATAGACAGACAGACAGACAGACAGACAGACAGACAGACAGATATATGTACGCATTGATGGATGGATAATAGATGGATTTGTTGACAAATGAATGGATGGATGGATGGATGGATGGATGGATGGATGGATAGATAGATAGATAGATAGATAGATAGATAGATAGATAGATAGATGGGTAGACCGATAGATAGATAGACAGACAGACAGACAGATATATGTACGCATTGATGGATGGATAATAGATGGATTTGTTGACAAATGAATGGATGGATGGATGGATGGATGGATGGATGGATAGATAGATAGATATGGATGGGTAGGTAGACAGATGGATAAATATATGGACTGATGGATTGGTGGATGGATGGCCTTGTAGACAGATGGATGGATGGATAGGTTGATAGATGGAAGGACTGATAGATGGATAGGTGGCTGGATGGATGAACAGATGGATGGATACATAGATGGATGTCTAAATGTCTTTTGTGTGTTTCACGCTTTTGTAGGTTGTGGAAAACCGCAGTAAGAAGGTGTGCACTTCTAAATCAGATCTGCGCTCAAATGATTTCAGTATTGTCGGTTCTCTCCCGCGAGATTTCGAACTCTCAAACTTCGACTGTTACGGCAAGCCCATAGAGGTCACAGATGGCTCCGGAAAATCACAGAACAAGAACAACAAGAAGCCTTCACCTCCGAAACCCGTCATTCCTTCCGCTGCTAAACGGGTTGATCTCTATGCACGCGCTCTGTTCCCTTTCACTTTCCTCTTCTTCAATGTTATTTACTGGTCTGTCTACCTGTAACCATCACAAAGTGTGTGTGCGTGTGCATTTATGTTGATGAGGGCGATGATTAAGCATGAACAAAATGTCGAAATGTTCATCCTTTGATGTCGGTTAATAGTCCTGCTTATTTGTGTCTCTCTTCGTAAGTCGCTTTTTGAGATGTGTGTCTTTAATACGAGCAGCATGACTTTACAGACAGTGTGTGTTCAGCCATGTTTGGCTAAGCTGCTAGATAGAGTCCCATGCCAACACTTCAGTAAATATCGGTTGTTTAGAAACTCAGGCAAGAATGTGCTTATGGAATAAAGGACTGTATAAGATCTGGACAAAGACAGCATGCAGTTTTGCAAATGGGCTTATTGCATTTAAGTCTGTGATGAAAAGGGATTAAACTGCTGTTGAGCCATACAATAAAGGTCCTTTATCAACTGCATTCTCTTGTCTATATTATTTTGGATAATCATATGTTTGCATCATTGACATTCTGTTCAGGGATTGGTTAGAAACTTCTCATATTAATTTAGCAACTTAAAACAACATTAATTCAAACTTTTTTGAAGATCATTTCAGTCAAAATCTAATACTGTACTGTATATGTGCTTTAATAAAATGCTCTACATAAATCGTAACCAACTGCAATCATGTTGTAATATTTCCATACTGAATTACAACTGGTTGTCCTCTTTCATACATCTATTTGCATTCTAAATTAATCACTCCTGTCTTGCATTTAGCCATTTTTAGCTGCCTTTACACTGCGCTGAATCTTGTGTGCAGCCGCCTGAAAACAAGACACATGATCACTGTCATGACAACGGCTCTGCAGCATTTTATTTTATGCAGAAAGACTAGATTATATAAAATTGTACATTATTACTGCCTAGCAAGCGCTGGTATTTCCTTTAGGAGATGTATAGATGAATACTAAATGAATACATACTCTTTGTGTTTGAAGGACTGGGCTTCATCTGTGGACAGATTACATTCAGCATTATTTATTATTTTCATCGTTCCTTTGTCTGGCTTTGTTAATGTAATCGTGTAAAAAGTTTGTGTTTCTGTTTAAGTTTAGTTCATGTCAAAGTCTTTGTTTATTGTACATTTTGTCTACGTTTACGTTAATAAACTGCACATGGGTTCTACAAACTTTCCTTCAGTGGACTTCATTACAATAACATTGATTTCACCATTATTTTTCAAGATTATGCGTTGCTATTAGTGTGTGTGTGTGTGTGTGTGTGTGTGTGTGTACTTGTCTACCTATCTAAGAGGGGACTTTGGTGTCGTTACACACTCACCAACAGGGGACCGCCGAGGGAAGTGGGGACATTTTTCAAGTCCCCTGTTAGCTATGCCTTAAAACATGTTAAAATCAACTAAAAAACGCTCTGGTGAATTTTTTTAACTTTTGACCAAGTGGGGACTAACACACGTGTGTGTGTTTAAGCCCATACTCAGCAGCGCTCCTGTAGGCTGGAGCAGGAACTGCAGTGGCCCATTAACACACGTCGTTCACACTTCTCTATTGTCTGAATGGCTGGCTGTCCCAAAGCCTCTGAGACTGTAGAGCTGCTTAGTTAAGGTACTTTCAGTAAATTTAATAACCCCACACTAGTAATCATTAGTTAAGCAATAGTAAATGCTTAACTAATGAAAATGCAATTATTAAAACACATTATAGATATGCTTTTAAAACAATATTAAAGAATTTATAGCTTTATAGCTGTCTTTATAAATTGCTGATTATTGGTTTAAAAGCATATCTATAATGTGTTTTAATCATTTTAATTCCATGCTTTATTAATGAACAATTTATGATTTCTAAATGAAGTATAGCATTATAAACCATAATAATAAACCAATATAAAGTTATTTAGGAGTTGTCAGTGGTTTATAAGATCACTTAGAAAGTGAGTAAATGATTAATAAACTATTTCAATGTGCATTCATGCATCTTATTATTCAGACATATAGTAATAGTTACTTAGTGTGTTAATACATTTTTAACATGTATTTCTACTGTAATCCAAGGTTAATTCAGGTAGTTATCAACCATTTAGTAGTGGTCAGTTTACTATTTTGTGAGCTCATCTAAAGTGAGGACCTGTTATGCCTTGTAACGCATTTATAAAAGAGATTTCAAAGGCTCAGTTAAATATTTGTATGTTCTTTTATGTTCAAAGTGTTGTGTTTGTTTCCTTTTTCTGTTTAGAAGAGAACTGAGCCTTTAAATCTAATTTATGAATGCTTTACAAGATATAACTATTCCTCACTTTAGATGAGCTGCCAAAAAAAGTTAACTGACCACTACTAAATGCTTAACTTCTTGCATTTACTACATTTAAATACACTTAAGTGATCTCATGAATCACTGACAACTCCTAAATAACTGGTTTGTAAATAATGTTATTCTTCATTAGGAAATTATAAATTGATCATTAATAAAGTATGAAAATACAATGATTAAACACAATATTATGCTTCTAAATAAAGAATAAAGCATTTACACAAGAATAGAGCATTTATAGCTGTATTTATAAACTTCTTATTAATGACTATTAATGCTTTATAAATTACAGATAAACTATTTACTAATGATTAACTAATGATTAATAGCATGCAGTTATTATGAAGTGCCCAGCGGCAACAGTTCGAAAGCAGAGGCGAGAAGACGCCTCTTATCATTCATAATATTATTTTTTTCTTATTTAACGCTCTCTCTTCATAGATACTGTCTATGCTTGGTTATAGCAGTCCCTAACAATTTACTTGCCATTGTTACTTTTCTTAATAATTTTGTCTGTACCTCAGTAGCAATTCCATACTAACAAATAATACAGAATATCATAACACTTTCGATGAAATTCCTATAAAACATCAGAAGCTTTATGTTGTGGACAATACAGGAAAGTTATTGCTTTAAAAAATTAATTCTCTGTTGTGGCTTTATACTTACAGTATATGATTGGTCCACATATCCATTTAAGCTTATTGCCTACTGATAAGTTGTATTTGACAAATATACAAATAGTTGTATTTGACTATATTTTACATTTTACAAGCAGTTTTGACTGATATGTGTGCACTGTAAAACAATTATTGTTGGTTTAACTTAAAAAAATGAAGTTACCTGGTTGCCTTGAAACTACGTTCATTGAAATTGAAAAATTGACTTAATACAATGAAGGAGATTGATTTTATAATCAGAAACTCAAAATATTATGTTATCTGAACCACATACATTATCTAAGTTGATTTGACAGAAGAAACAACGTTATGATAACAAATCATGATTTTTTTTTTTTTTTTACAGTGTATATTACTTTAGTTTGAAAATTACTTCAATTATCTTTTTAACAGTTAACTGGTTTCAATCTTATTTATGGAACAGAAAGTTTTTGTTCAGGATAGGTCATTTCTTCTGTTCTGTCGCTCACCTCCACAGGGATCGATCTCGGCGCCCTCCCTTTACTCGTTCTACATGCTACCATTGGGTTCTATATTTTAATAAGACATGGTGTTTCCTTCCATTCTTATGCTGAAGACACCAAAATATATACACCTATTGAGAGAAATGATCCGTCTGCTTCCATTTCTCTTTTATTATGCTAAGATGAAGTTACATCTTTGCTTGCAAAAAAATTGTGTCTTTAAATGAACACAAAACTGAGGTGATAGTTTTCCCCACTGATAATTTTAAGACCACCAGCATCGCTTTGAGGAGCTTCTCTGCATTCAGATCTATGCGGGATTAGGTGTGCTTTTAGATGGGCCTTCAAAACGTGATAAATATCTTCCGTAACTGCATCTAGTTTATCAACTCAATAAAATCAAGCAGAAATATCTCTTTAAGGTATAATTGCAGGTCTCCACACAAGCTAAACTGTACATGATCTAGACTCTAGATAAATAAAATGCAATGGCAGCAGTAAGTCTGGGGAATGCTTATAATTCTCCTTTTGGTTTCAATTATGAACATGTTTCAATTCTTTTTAACAAGGCATATATTTCATAATACAATTATAAAAAGATATAACATTATTTGATATTAGCATATTAGCAGCAGTATATAACAGTATATTAGCAGCAATTACACATTGTTCCCTTTACCATCAAACTGGAGAGCCTCTTTTCTGTAATGAAAGACCAATCTTATGGGTTGTGGTCCCTCATATTGGCCAATATCAGTAAAAAAAAAACAACAACCTTGTTTCCCTTAGGGCTTAAATTACCCAGATTTGTTTATTTTTTATCATTACATTTTTATCCTGACTGACATCAGGTGATGCTTGTAACCCAATCATAATCTGTTAACCCACAACATTAGAATGTTATATTCCCATTAAATTAAATTAAATTAGAATGTATTTATTTCTAAATACTTATCACTTTTTTAAGCTCTTCACTTCAGCTTCACTGCAGTACATTTCACATTCAAAACGCATTAAAACTACCAAAACACATCATTCATACATATAATAAACCAGACCGTTCTCATCCTTTAACGTCATAGAACGCTATATGCAAAAACGGCGCTATACTACGCACATGGCACCCTTTATCATTAATATAACACGCGAACCCAAGTCGTCATAAATCCTTTAGCGTAAATATGATACGCAGACCCTACCCCACACCTAAACTTAGCTCTCACAGCACGTGTTATATTAATGATAACAGGTGCCATGTGCGTAGTATAGCGCCGTTTTTGCATATAGCGTTCTATATGACGTTAAAGGATGAGAATGCGTTGAATAAACACACACACACAACAGGCAGCAATATGCACTATTTTTTGCTGTTCAGAATTCGTTGGTTCATGTTTATATGGAAGACTTAGACTTGTTTACGTGTTTAGTTAATTCTTAATTTTTCTGTTTTTTTTTTTTGTTTTTTTAGATTCAGAATATGTTTCAGTGTAAAATACAGTAGAAATATCTTATTCGTTTGTCTGTTGATAAGTTTTGAACTTAAATAACAGTCTTGGAAATAATATCTAAGCATGTGCAAATTGGCCTGTACAGTAGATCAAGTTTTGTTTGCCAGAAATCAATTCATGTAAATTGAAAGATCTCAGTTTAGCGAAGACTGATCGTGGGATCACTGAGTGAAGAGTTTTGAGAAGTTGTTCAATGTTGTATTATGTTCAGAGTTTTAGCAGTGTTGTGTCAAAGTGAAATATGTAGTTTGGAAGATGTAGTCACTGAATGCATTAATACAACTCTAAAAAGAAAAACAACAACAAAAAAGCAACCTGTAATAGCAGCTGCAAATGGGGCCTTATTTATCACTCAGAAAGAATTAGTGTTAAACACATTTACACAAACTCTAGACACAGAAGGATCATATGTTCCCCACATCACACCAGGATATTTCACTCAAAATTGTGAAATATTTCACTCATTAAGTGTTTGATTTACTCATTCAACTGATGTTCAAAACAACTGTGTAGTTACAGTGCTGCAAAAAAATGCAGACATGTTTCTTTATAAAATAGCAGACACAATACCACTGATATTGAAAAAAAAAGATCTAAATCAACTTCTAGGTTTGGGTGAAGTGAGAGGGTCACAGAGACAGAACTAAAAACCTAATTTGTCAAATAAACTCTAAAAATAAAAGATATTCAAGACTGTGGTATAAATAATTGGATGATCTGACCATAACTCATACTATCCTTGATTTTCTAACTTAGGACATTTCCTTTGTGTGTGATTACACCGCCCCCCCACACTAATTAACATATCAATGCAGGATGAAGGTGTCTAGGTGAAGTGGCCTGAGTGCTAACAAATACAGCTACCAATGTTCAAGTATCTGTGCAACTTCTCAAATAAACTACAATAAACTAGAGAAAAACGTTGGGATTTACCCTTCCAAATTTATTTTGTAACATATTCTTTTGTAAAAATGTATTTAATAAATAAATAAAAACAAGAAGTAAACTACTGTTAACTGCAGTTTGTTACATTATCCATGTTTACAATACTGTAATCCCTGGTACTGTCGATGAACAGAAATCAAAAGATCAAGGGACAAATTATCAGTATATTTTCTAGAATCTCGGAGTGAAATGGGCTTATGTGACAAACTGTGGATCATTTAATTTTGCTTTGGAATTTTTTTATTCAATGGCGTCTTTCAAT